TATATATATATATATATATATATATATATATATTCATCATCGACCACCACTTGCCGAACTCCACAGATCGTCATCGGTCGCAACCCACTTCTTACAACAAGCTCATTTGTGCATCGACGCCGTAACTCCGAAGAGTGTTCAACCTTTTCCCGCTTGTGTGACGAGGGACTATACATCCAATTTATAGTGGATTTCTTCAGCTACGTTAAACCCCGTGATTTTTTTCTTTTCTAGGTTCTTTACATAAAAATTTTTGGTATCATTATTAGTTATTTTCTCTCTTTTGGGTGTGTGTTGAATCTTCATACCAAACTAAGACAATAATTTGTTACTCTACTGCTGCGAATTTACTTGCACACATCAATTTCAATTTACATTGTTATGAGGCATAGAAAGTCAAACTTCTCTTCCTCGAGGCTATGCCTCATACAAAGCCACACTCTTGCAATCATAGCTAAAAATATCACTTTTTACAGATTAAAATTGAGACCTTTTATGTAATATGAAATATTCAGGCGGTCTAAATGTAAAAAATTGAAATTTAGGGTGGCATGTGTGTAAATGCCCCATAAAAATAAGATTAGAATTAGGTGCCTCAATGATAGATTCATATGAATATTCACTACCTTTTATAATCAAGTAAGGCAATAGGGTAGAGTGCTCCTTTTATTGATTGCTATTGATTTCATATGTATTTTATAAATCATATAAGCACCAAAAATTTATTGGCGTGGTTAGCAGGTTATATACATACCCTCCAATTCTTTATGTATTTACACATCTAACACCACAAGTTTGATTTTTTACATTTATACCACCGAAATGTTTCATATGGCATAAAAAATATCACCATTTTAACATTTAAAAGGTGAAATATAAATTTTCATGTATGGGTATGGTAGCATGTATGTAAAAATTGAAGTTTAGGGGTTGCATGTGTAAATCCATAAGAATTAAATGGTATGCGTGCTAATCTTCCAAATTAATTCATCAGGAGAACAATCGCTCTGCCATTGAACATTCTTATGATGTATATGAACAATTTTTTTTTTTTAGCTATGATAGCAAGAGAATGGCTTTGTATGAGGCATAGTATGCCTCGAGGAAGAGAAGTTTGACTTTCTATGTCTCATAATAATGTAAATCGAAATTGATGTGTGCAAGTAAATTCGCAGCAGTAGAGTAGCAAATTATTGTCTTAGCTTGGTACGGAGATTCAACATACACTCAGAGGTTCGCAGCAGTAGAGTAGCAAATTATTGTCTTAGCTTGGTATGAAAATTCAGTACACGCTCAGAAGAGAAAAAATAACTAATAATGACATCAAAAATTTTTACGTGAAGAACCTAGAAAAGAAAAAAATCACGGGGTTCAACATAGCTGAAGAAATCCACTATAAATTGGATATTACATGGATAGTCCCTCGTCCCACAAGCGGGAAAAGGTTGAACACTCTTCGGAGTTACGGCGCCGATGCACGAATGAACTTGTTGTAAGAAGTAGGTTGCGACCGATGACAATCTGTGGAGGTCGGCAGGTGGTGGTCGATGACGGTCAGCGGTAGTCAACAGTGATCAAAGATGGTCAACAGTGGTCGGCAGCTACAGTACCGAGGTAATTTTTTGCGGTCATCTCCTGCGTCAATCTCCCAGAGTTGGGGGAGCTTCGACCTCATCCGTGAAAACTTTTGTATTCTCATTGTATGGCTTCAAGTCGACCAAGTTGAAAATGGTGGAAATGTTATAATCTCCTAATAAGTAAATCATGTTGGCATTGGCATTCCAAATCACATCTTGATAGAATAGGTTATTATCATGCTTTGACACAATCATAACTAAAACTGTACATGGATAAGTACCCTCACAAACCAAGCTTCAAGCCATTAAATCTATAGTTGGCTTCTACTCGTCTTACTCCTTCGAGTTTATCTGATAAACAAATATGTGAGGAATCAACTCAATAACGAAATCTATGGCAGGTTGGACCACGCTGATGTATAACCACTCAAGAGAGGCCTCTTCTTCTTCTCTGAAAGGACCTGGACCCCACTGAAGAATTGTCTTCCCATCAAGCTTCTAAGACAATCTTCAAAGTTGGGTTTTAACTCTCATGTCTGGACATTTGATGATAGATACACTACTGAATGGAATTTGATATATGAATAATTCTCATATAATCTTTCAGATGTGGCGCAAAAGGGCCTCATTTCTGACATATTGGAGCTCTCTCAGAAGGGGCAACTCATGAAAAAATCTATAGATTTAAAAAGTCTGAAATCTCGTATTTGGGGTTGTCAATCCTCTGGTGTCAATTCCTCAAACTCAAGAAAATCAAGGTTATTTAGTCGAAGTTTCTCTTATGGACTCAACTGGAACTATGTGCATATTTTTCTCGCGAGCTAGAAGCCGATACTCCTCATTTGTGCTCTCACCTTCTTCAACATTTGTTGATTAACTTCCCATTTTTTCAACAACTTCCTACTCGGTGAAACAAATCATTCCATTGGTTGTGTAATTAATTTAATGTGTCCAAATATGTAACACTTGAAACATTTCCTAGATGGGGATGAATTTGGGAATGATAGTTGGTCCCACCTATTTTCCACTCGAAACTAGTGTCTCCGCAAGCGAGGTCAACATAGATGTTCCCCTAGCCGTACTCTGACTGCGAGATCCTGGATTTTACCCTGTCTATAAGATGTGGTGGTCGGCTGATGATGTGGTTTCTCCACCTTTCAAGTCGGGGTCTGAGCATTCGTTCTATAGTGAGCGTGTAGGAACTGGTGCTACTTCTCCCATTTTATTTTGGATGATGTAGTAATTTTATCTTTTCCTTCTCAGGGGCATAGGTACTTCAAATTTTTCTACCAAAATAACACGCTCTTCTGTAACTTATTAGCAGTTAGTTTCATAATATTGTCCAGCAGGAAGTCCTAGCACTCAAAGACACATTCTAAGGTCTAAATTGCACTCAATGAACTTGTTTGAATCCATGCAGTTGTCGATGGCAAACCCACATTTACTTCAAAATTCTGACTTTTTCATATATTTCGAGTCACAACTTCGAGGTAGAGACTTTTCATCTATGATATCTACATGATTGAAGAGATTCACTCAATTCCTTCGATCAAGCAAGCCACCATTGTGGCTACTGGTGACCCATTCGGATTGTCTCCTCTTAAATGTGGCAAACCTCTATTGTCATTGATGGATTTCTCACAAGATATCCTCCCTATAAATCCTTTGGACACATCTTTGTGAATTTCTCATACACGACATCGTATCATTTCCCTTCGATTAGACCTTCGACGATTATCTCCTTGACAACATGACTATGTTTTGGGTGTGGTAGGTAGAATGAGGTGTGTAAGAGTGATGTTGGGTAAGAGAAAAAATTTTGGTGGAGATATGGTTGGGTATTAGCGGCTGCTAGAAACCCTCATATAGCACTAGGGTTAACCTTGCTCTGATACCAAATGAAATACGAAAGTGCTTAAAAAATCTTGAATTAAATTTATTATTTGTTAATGATATCCACAATTAAAACTAGACTTTGAAGTGAGTATAATTATTTTGGTTAATGAAGTATAAGAATAAGTAATTATTATGAAATTAATAAAACTAAAACTACCATAAACAACGTGAAGTTGAATTTAATGTCCATATAAAGCATGAGACATAAAAATAAGAATAGAAGATTCTTAAAATTTCTTCTGTGGAAAAAAATTCGTATCCTATGTTATATATTATATAATGCAGTAATAGTAGCTATCATCAACATCATTTAATTTTGCCTAAAAAGGAATTAAAAAAAAAAAAAATTTTTGAATTAGTTTTCACGAAAATTATCTGTAAAATCAAAAGCATTACATATTTAGAGAGTTAAAAGAAGACTACAGAACTAGTGCCGATGCTGATTTCTAACACTTAACTAAATAATAAAAGGAAGATTTACATATATACCAACCTATTCTTATAGATTTACATATCAAACATCCAAACTTCAATTTTTATATACATGCCACCATATTTATGCATGAAAATGTGTGTTTCCCATTGTAAATATTAAAATCATGGTACCATGGATGTAATATGAAAGATTTGGGTGGTATAAACCGAAAAAGTAAAATTTAGGTGTT